TAAATTAATAAAAAACGTAATAAATTTATGTAGGCATTTATTTTTTATGATAAATTTAAACGTTTGAAACTATTTTCTTATGTCTTCCTAAAACATTTTTAAACCATTGTTTTTAAAAAGAATTTTTTTAAGTTACTTTATTTTGTGAATAAGTTCAAAAGCATTTGTGACTACTAACTTTTACACATTTTATGTGAATTACACAAAAATATAAAATAACTTTATTTACTTATATAAGCATGTATTTTGTTGATTTAATGAAAATGTTTTAAAGCATTTTGTAATGTTCATACAATTAATTTTTATGATTAAACTTACGATTTTTTTAAATGTTTTAAATAAACATTTTATTTTTTATAAACAATTTTTTTTTTTTTTTTCAATTTCGTTAGAAATGAATATATTGAATATATCTTTTATAATAATTTTTAAATTTGTTACACAAAGCGCTTATTAATAAAGTTGTAATGCTCAAATTAAAATTAAATGAAAAAGCTTGTTGGCAGTTTATTTTATTTAAATCGTAGGCGTATTTAATTTTCTTTTTTTTTTTTTTTTTTCTATTTTTACGAATAAAAAAGTTCATAACCTTTTTTATAATTAGACTCACTAACTATATATACAATTTTTATAAACAATTTTTATAATATTATATAATTAATATAATTAATATAAACAATTTTTTTGCAACTTTTTTGACAAAACAAATGTTTATACAATTTAAAAATATTATATAAAATCACTTTTTAATAAATTTAATAAAATTTGTTTTTTTATTAAACTAATCATTAGTAGTAATTTTTTATTTATTTTAAAAACGTTTTGCGTAACTTAAATAATGCTTATAAAGATAAGTTTTAATAACATTTATTTCATACGTAATTAAAAACGTAACAAAAAGTTTCGCTTCGAGTTTAAGTTTTTATTTTCATTTTAGTGCTTATATAAATTCTTTTGTTATGAATTTGTTTTTCGTTTCTTTTATCATTAGGAATTTTTGTTAGTTTTTTTTTTTACTTTTTTTCCTAGTTTAAGTTTAGCTTAGCGTTTCTACATTTAGAACATTTCTGAAATTTTAAACTCATCAAAACATATAAACATTGTTTATTAAACAATCGTGGTCAAGTTGTCAAAAAATTCATTTGCGTGGTCAGCAATAGCACTCGATCGCACGCCAATCCTGTCTAAGCCTGCAATCATTGCAATGTTGTTTTTATTCAAATTGACCTGGCCCTATCTTATTATTTTTTAGCTAATACTGTTGCTACTGATGACTTTAATGCTCATCACATCGAATGACTTTGCTTATTTTTTTTCTGTTAGTTTGCCTTCCAAGGCCTAGAAGGCCACTACAGACGAGGAGGTTACTTAATTGTGGTTATAACCCTCTCTCAACTCTATAACTTCGAAATACTACCAGGGACGGGTTGGGGATCAAATTCGGAACCTCTCACTTATGAAGTGAGTGCTCTACCATTACACCACTACCGCATTACTCAGATAGTTAATATTGTAACTTTTTTTCCAGAAAATTTTTATCACCTGCCTTTATTCCTTAATTTTTGAACAAGAATAATTTTCTGGATAATAAACTTTTTTTCATAATTTTCGAAATTATACAGTGCTTAACTTAGTATGAGACCAGGGATGAAATTTGACTAGGCCTGCCTGGGGCCGGTTTTAATAAAATATAGCCAGGGCCAAGTTTGTGACTGAGGCTGCATAAATTATGTTTCTTTTTTTTTTTTAATGTAAAATTCATGTTATGTTATGTATAAAATCATCATCATCATCATTTCTTTCATCATCACTACACTTCCTTTTTTATGTGGTTTTTCTAATATAAATAATTAGAGCTTTTTTTTTTTCTTAACTAAAGCTCATTCATACAATAGGTAAGGCACTCTTTTCAAGTTTTCTTACTTTTACTACTACCATTTTCTCTTGAAGCTGCTACCTCTCTACATGCTGATACCTAAATCACTTTAATCTTCTCTAAGAAATGTTGTTTTCTAATTTTTCTAAGATTAAGCCTCTTTTTTGTAAGAGTCACACCACACATCCATCTAATCATCTTCTCTTTCAACAAATACTTCACTATATAAATATTAAAATTTATATAAGTATGTAAAGATATAGTATGCCAGCATCTAAATAAACAGCAAACATAGATAATTATATCAATTTTATGTATGCATAAATGCGCATCTTGGAAGCTTTTATTCCTTCTGGAATAAAAGTTTGAAAGCTTTTATTTCTTCTTTTCAATTTAAAGTCAAGCATCATTCTACTCCACATCAGGTCAGGTTTATCCTGCTACTGGTAACATGTAACCCAGTACAATCTGCTTCATGTCCTGCTGCCTTGTAGGATATGCCTTTTTTGGCAAAGGCTAGAAGATGCAAACTCTGACATAAAACATCCCCTGCCTTGGAGCTCTTAGTTGAGTAAAGGCTAGAGATGGTGTCTCGATAAAAATGCTTGGGCAGATGTTAAATGCATCCGGCTGTTATCTTGTAGAAGGCCTCCTAGGCAAAGACTTAAGGGGTAAATAGATTCTATCTGTTGACCAGCCTCGCACCCCTTCGTCATCTATTAGCCTGGCGCAGATGTATTTTTAAAACATTGTTTCCAGTTTAGGATGTTGAACGCTGGATCTTCTCGACTCGATTCATGGGTTTTGCTTGTGTCTCTGTTTTTATGACTAGGCAACTCATTCTATTATCTCCAAATGAGGGTACAGCTCTAAAACTCAGTTTTATGGTTCTGAGGCTGGCTGGTAGTCAGGTTTCTCAAACTCTGTGGTAGCTCTCAGAGAGGCTGATTCCATCAACAGCTGAAAAATATCAGAGTACTAACAGTGCCATGTTGCGCATGGATGGTTTCCCTGTTTATATTTTTGGTGCGCATTGACAAGGTCACATTGGAGCCCTTTGTTACAGCTTAGGGTTTATTAGTGGAAATGAGGCAATTGCTTGGGCTATAAAACAGTGTACTGAGTACTATCTCTGTTTCGAGTCAAGTTCTTTAACAAATTTAAAAATGAATAAAGTAACAAAAACTAAGTTTACCAGACCTACTTGCTCTTTGTGAGACTAATTTAAGTTTAGCTGTCTCATCTTGTGATCTTAGTGTTGATGGTTATCTTATTTAATTTGTAAAGACTCCAATAGTCACATGCTTGGCCCGAGCATTTACATTCGTAAGAATTCACCCATTTGTCGGGAAACTAGGTTTGAATCCACAGACTACTCTTTTATGTGCTTTCGTTTAGCACCACTTTACTCACTTTTCTCTTTGTTCTATATGGCTCTCTGATTATATTGACTAAGCCCCCATTCTTTATCCATCAGCCAATATTGTTGTTGTCGGTGACTTTAATGTTCATCACACTGAATGGCTTGGCTCTAGTGTCAGTGACTCCACAGGCATTAAGGCCCACAACTTTTGTCTTTCTCAACCCTAACTCAAATATTCAACTTTCCAACTCGCTTTCCAGACAACCCAAATCATTTACCTTCTCTACTCGACTTATGTCTTGTTTCTGATCCTAGTCAGTGCTCAGTTTCTCCACACTCACCCTAAGGTGCTTCTGATCATGGTTTGGTCTCTCTAAAACTATTATCTCATTCTTCTTTACCATCAGAATCCCCCTATCATTGTTCATCTTACAACTACCTTAAAGCTGACTGGGACTATTTCCATGATTTTCTTTGTGATGGCCCCTGGGTAGAAATCTTTTGTCTTCCTGTTGACAAATGTGCTTCGTACATAACTTTGTGGATTCAGGCTGGCATGGAATCCTTTATTCCCTCTCGACGATTCCAGGTCAAGCCTCACTCTTCTCCATGGT